CTCTATGTGACATAAATCAACATTACAAAGAAAATAGGCTTTCACATTAATTCTCAGATTGCCTGCAGTGATGACCTGATAAGAACAGTCATGCTAGCTGTGCAAATATTATAACTTGATTATTCAAGAGCAACATTAGAGAGTTTCAAAATCATTACGTTGAAATAGCTGAGGTCAAAATAGCTGATGCCTAAACCTCAGTAAGTGTGGGTTATCCGAGCTAATTTTCCAGTAAAAACAAACTTTTTCCATTAAAACTTCATTGTTTACAACCTGTTCAGCTTTTTTCCCCCAAAGTTGAAACTGTAAAAGTTTCCTTGGATTAGCTATGAAAAACACATATATTCTTAATTCCGGAATAATTCCATTTTCCAAATACAGCAAGGGTAAATTTTTCAAATTTATTCTTATATATCATAAATTAGGTATAACACAGTGGTGCAGAATTTCTTGAACCTGTCCAGCTTCTATTGTTGAGACCGTCCATTTTTAATTTTGAAGATATAACAATGAAAACTAACAAGTAAATTTGGGTCAGACTGCTCATGTACCTACAGACTGGCCTGGTTCTATACTTGTTGCAAAAATTAATCACTTTCTATTTCAGCAGGTAAAGGGTTTGTGCACCAAGTTTTAGCAAGAGGTCAAGGTAATTGTTATAAGAACCATTTCAGATGTCAATCTTAAGGTTATATGATACAGTTCTACAACTTTACTGATACAGGAAGACTTAAAGAGCTTTTCAGTTCATTATTACAGACACAGCTTGCACCAGAGTAGAACTACCAACCTTTCATAAACTACCAGAACAACTTCTTCTCATGAGATACATGTACTTTAATGCAGACTTTGTTCACACAACAGTAATTAGGCTTAATGAACTGTCCATGCTCAACTATTCTCAGTGCTTGATAGTAAAACAAGAGTGTGAATAATCTAGAATATTTTAAGTTCAAAAAGGGCCATAATTCTGCCAAAATCCATGTCAGATATTTATAGGCCTTAGAGAGTGACCTCCTATTACACTCTTAAATAAGTGTGAGTGGTTTCAATCCATTTTCTTCAGTAGTTGTGTAGGTATCAACTTGCATGCAAAGACTTAACCAAAGTGGGACGCTTACGCCTGGGTGAGTACAGTTGCTCTCCCTATTCTATGAATACTCGAGCTAAACATCAGTGTAAACTACAGTAACAACAAAGACTATATGCTCTGACTGATACTTTATTAGTATGGTACAGGGAAAAAAAGGTTGTAAAAGCAAAATTAATATATAAGTAAACTGAATATACGGTAATTCAAATTATACAAAAAAAACAACAATACATTTAAGTCTATAAAAGCCTCCAAGCCTATAAATAGCTTACACAACAAAATCAATGACTAAAAGGATTACAACAATAAAATCAGTAGTACAACATAAATATATTGCTAAAAATTTAACATGTACATAGTTCGGTCAAAAATTTCAGTTCCCAAAGTTTGGCTTTAAAAATTGCATATTTATGAAATTCTTTCATTCAAATTCATGTACAATGTATAAATAATTGTGTCAAATACAAGCACAAAACTTTAACATAGATTGTTAAAATTGACTGATGTGTAATAATTATTAATGGTTTAACACCTGTTAAATCTGTAAAGATTTTTAATTGATTAATACATTATGTCATTTAAAATTAATGTGATTTTGCAGGTTTTAAATCTGTCATTTCATACATAATTGTCAAATTGTTGTATTTTTTTCTCAAATAAGAAAAGTTTTGGTGTTGGTGAATGAATGTTTGCATAATCTTGTTATATTTGTAACTAATATTCTTTCTTAAATGGACTTGTCCAGGTTCCAGTTTTTGGAACTGCCTACTGTCAAGATTGGGGATATCAAGAAGAAAATTTAAAGTTAGTACACCAACAAATACATTCAGACAGCACTGATGACAAAGGACAATTAATTCCATACTTAAAATGCTAAACAGAAAACTTTGCCATCAATAAATAAAATAAATTATTTCATATCCCAGTAACCAGTATACCCATCAAATACTAAGCGAAAAGGGTTGGAAATGACATCTTTTTTAAAAGAACCTCAAACAAACCTTATAATAATACTTATAACACATTGACTAGATTTTAACGTCTTTGCTTTTATACCCAATAAATACAAATTTGGCAAGAATGTAAAATTACAAAAAAAATCCAACTTATCAATGAAAATAAAAGTCATTTTCTCAGATCTTGATAGAACATTATCAAAGCAAAATAAATCTATATCTTAAATAATACATTTTGTAAAACATATCTATTAACTATGTATAAATAAATTGATAAAACACTGAAGAATAATACAAAAGTAAAAGTACATGTATAAAGTTAGATTTCTGGTTATTTTTGTGTCGTACAGAAATAATTTTTTGGATTAAGGTGTATAAAAGATAAAAATCAATTATAGAGTTTTACTGGTACTTCATGTTTTAGTTTTTGGCTCAGTTTCAAGTCCCAAACACCGAAAATGGTCAGTTGGGAAATTTCCAGCTGTTCTATTGGTTAACGGTCTGTGCCTTATTTTATGCACAAGCCGGCTCCGAAATACAACCAAATTCATGTCTATATATAGTGGCAGTGATTGAAGCCAAATGGTGGGGATTCAAGCCCAGTATTGGGGATTTATGCATTCTAGTATGCATGCCATTTTTCATAAACTACTTCCTATATAAGAAGTGGAAGCAAATAATCAGCCCTTAACCTGTTGAATTGGCCAGCTTTGAATTTGGCACAATCCATTACAAATAATGAAATACAAAAACTAAATTACTAACAGCATGGCAGTATACTGGTGGTAAAAATGGTAGTAAAGGCTTATCAATTTTAGTTTAGAAAAGATTAGAAACAGAAAAAAATAAATCACCATAACACTTAAGTCTTAATGACCATAATCATATTCCTTCTAGTATAAACTCATTAACACAAGAAAACTTGTCTACAACAATAAATGCCCTAAAATATAACACAAAGAAAATAATCAAAACTTAATACATGTACCTTAGACAATTATGAATAATACATTAAAAAGAAGAACAAGAAATAGAAAAAGAAACTTTTAAAACATATTCCTCTATCTGGTTGGGTTTTCAGTAAACTGACAATGTAAAGGTTACAGACTTGTGGTGAATCTCAAAGGCCCCTGAATTATTACAGTCATGATTGGGCACTGGATGAAGTAGAACAAGACAGTATCTTCACATATAGTCCCTGGTGCTGCAATAGTTTGAATTTTAAAGGAACTCCACTGAGATTAGAGTGAATTATAAAAAGGCCATTTTAGTATACAAGTCCCTAAACAATCTTCTCCCTGATTATATGCAAAATCTTTTTACAAATACAGAAAATAAATCATTAAGATCATATGAACAAAAACTTCTTTTAGTCCCCAAACCAAGAATTGAATTCTGCAGAAAATCCCTATCATATTCAGGCTCAAAATTTTGGAACTCCCTCCCTTTAAACATAAGAAATTCTTCCAACTTACAAACATTCAAAACAAATTATCTTAAATGGTGGTTCTCTGGTGGGCACCAAATAATCTAGCTATGTTTTAATATCACATATATACATGTATGTCTCATAAAATGTACAATTTCATACTTTCAAATGTTTGTATTCATTTTCTTATTGCATTTTTCAATTACTCAACTTTTCTTTGTTGTATAACTTGTATACATTTAGTTTTCTTTCTTTGTTTATATAAGTCTTTGTTTGTAACTGTATATATGTACATTTTTGATAGAGGCTCATAGGGAAGACTGGGCTTGCCTAACTATGTTGCCTCTTTAAATAAAGTCTTTATTATTATTATTATTATTATTATTCAAATGCATAAAAAAATTAAATAAAAATTTAAATCATTCAAATATCAAATAAAAAAACTTAAATAGATAACTCTGCAAAGGATAACAAATATAGAAATATACTGTTCAACTTTAAGCCTGTTTTCAGTCAAAAGTGTGTAACGCTTTTCATTTTTTCAATAAAAATGATTATCCTGGAAAAACGGGACGAGGGAATGATCTTAAAATTTGCACACAAGTTTATAGGTCTAAACCTTCACCAACTTGTTCAGAAATCTCGGGAAAATATTTCTAGCGATGTCATGTCAAAAAACCTCGGTGGAGTCCCTTTAAAGTCCTTTTCAAATATCATTAAGGCTGGTTTACCAAAAGAAAGATAACTAAAAGTAAGCATGACTAATGACTAGCACCAAATAATATAAAATAAATTGTAAGTTTGCGTTAGGTAAAAAAACCAAAGCATGTATCATTTAAAGAAAGCAATAATCATGTTACTAACAAAAGCTCAATATAATATTACTAGTTAAAACTAGCTAAATAAAGATTGACATGTAATTCAACAACAGACAAACATGTTTAATAATAGGATTATTTTGCTGATAAAAAAACAACAACATTTGATATAAATTAAAGACCAGGTGTGTTTGTTTTTGGGTTGTTTTTTTTTAATTAAATATTTGAAATTGACCAAACACCAATTTACAATCATTATTATGTAATTTTAAAAGACAATCTCCATATACAAAAATCTAAACATATCTGATTCAAACTCTTTCGGACAAAATTTACTTGACAATTACATGATTGTACAGTACACAACACAAAATTACATAGACATAAAAAGGCAAGACTTTTAACATTTACATAATAAACATGTGGTTTACATTGCTTAGAAAAAAGCAAAATTTCACCATTTTCTAAAATAAAAAAAAAATATAGGGAAAAAAAGATAAGGCAATAGTGCATTGGAAACTACTCCAATTCTCACTTACTTTTTTCACAAATTTATTTGATTTTTATCACAATTAAAAACAACCTTTCTAATAATATAGAAGTTTTTTTCTTCTCAATTACAGCTATTCATTTATTAATTTTTCAGGCACCTGTTTCACATTTTCAGTTTTTGTCTTTCATAATTTCAGGTATACACAACTGTATTGGTTTGTTTTTTAAGTTTTTTTTTTTTTCACAATTATTTTAGTATTATGGTGTCAAACAGGTATTAATGTTGCAAAATAAATTCCCATTTCATGTATGATAAATTCAAGTTGACACTTACATGCCCACCACATGTGATTTACCAATATCAACCTGTTTTTCTTCTAACATTAACAATATATATATACAACAAGTAACGAAGCAAAAGCACAATTCTTGGCAAACTAGCAAAACATTTTGGTTCAACACTTCAGTGTATACACTATACAAGTAATATACTAACATAATATATTAATGTGATGATAAAAATGTTAAGATAACTGCAGTATACCCTTCGCCCCCCTCAACCAAACATGTTTATTTTTGTTTGGCCAATTTAATACTTGTATCCAATAAGATTTGGTTCTTTTTCTTCCCTTTTAAACACTATGCAAAAAGTATCTCCCAAAACAAATCTTTCCAAAACAAAAAAGGGTATGACTTTTTTCTTAGTCTCAATATAATGCAAACAAGAGCTCCGCATGCAGTGCTAACATTTGTCTGTTAAATAACCACTTCTGATAAAAATTTGAAATACATAATGGCCATAACTCCAAATATATAGCTTTATGAATTTAGTCCCTTGTCTAATAATTGCACCTTGTCATGATAAGCAAGCGTTCCAAGTTTCATATTGATACCTTTAAAACTGTTTGAGTTATGGATTATATAAAAGTTTTTATACAACAACAATGACGACAACAACAACAATGTTGCAGGGATCTTAATAGCTCTATACAGACAAGCTTAAAATGTAACATATCTGTTATTTATAAATGCACAGAAGACTGAAGTATACTCATAATTTGTTTGTTATTTCATGACAATGGATTTTTTGTTCCAGATGGAATGAAAATGACAATTTCCAGTTTGACAGCCAAAACATACTTAACACACTTTAACATCAATTAAGAAATGATTGATATCAAATTTTCTCCCTAACATTAATGGCCTGAAGTGTTAAAAAATTGTGAATTAACATGTCATTAGCCAATTTAAAATCAATTAACAAGCCAGCACTAACAGCTACACTAGTGTCTTTATCAAAATTCACCTTTTTTTGCAGAACAATGCCTTATTTCAAACACAAATTTCATCTCACTACAAAAGGTTGACATTAGTTCAACTTCAGAGTAAAATATACTTGTCATATAACATAACAACATCATACCAATACGATGAATAACATTTTTTTTTAAATACAGACAACCCAAATATCAGACGATGACTAAGTTCTTTGGTTGACAAAAAAACCCAAAAAGAAGTGAACCAACCTCATGTTGCCTGCATTGAAATGATATGACATAAAATGTTAAACAAGTGTTTATTATGGTTGTAACATAATCCAGGTCTTGTTATGTGACTGGTACTAACAAAATGTTAACAGGATATGTTTAACATTATCTACAGAAAAAAAAACTTTAACCTTGGCAAGCATTGTACACTTAGAATAACCACACCAAGATACTTTGATGTCAAGTATAAACACATATATTTTAGAGGTCTTTAATGACCCTGTGAATCATCATAGAAGTTGCTAGATCCAGTGGTTTTTATTCCATTTTGTAGACTTATCTATAAAATTGCCGTATTTGTTAGGAATACTGGTTGTTACCTTATCAGGATTTTTTTCCTGGATTTTGGGAACATGACCAATACCCATGGAATTGGGAATTTCAGCAATGTTTTGCAACAAATTGGGAAAAAATGCACAAATGAAATTTTGCAGTGATTTCAAGAATGAATGCAAACAATCACTGTCTAGGATGGCATCTTCAAACATTTAAGCACTATATCAGTGACAAAACCGTTATTTTCAAAGATTTTAGAATTCTTAGAATTAATATTTTTATTTTGTAACTTTCAATTGGGAATTTTTTCCTGTGGATTGGGAAAATAATATGCTATTTTCAATTGGGAATAAGACCGAATATCGGCTATAAAATAAGATGAAGAAAAAAATCCCTGCTCATTTACGCTCAAACCTATTGACTCAACTTAGTGCAGACTGACCTGTTCTATACTGATGTCCAAGGATGAACACAACTAAGTACAAACCGGTTAATAGCTGAGCTTTGTTCATCATTTTACAGGGATAAAATGTTTGCATGACAAAAACAAAACAAAACAGTTCCCTATCTTATACCATACACATGTATGCAATAATGCTTACAAACCTTTTGGGAAAAAAAAAAATCACTTCCTTTGACCCTTAAAAATTAAATTCAAAAATCAAGTGCGTGCCTGAATTAATGAAAAAGTAATTTGTACGAAAAAGCTAGCATACACGCCCAAAACAGAGCTTTTACAAATATGTACATGTGTAAACAGAATAACTAAGCCTCCAGGAGCGGATATAAATGTTTGCCTATAAATTTATACATCTCTGTATGCAACAATTTCTTTATCTCTATCCCAAAGCAATGTAAAGCAATGTAATTTAATCTTAATTTCAATTGTTCGTAAACAACGCTATTTCAATCAACCAAACATGCTCTTGAACAAAATTTTCATCAACATCAACCTTATTGAAATTCCATTTCACTTTTCTTTTTTTGCTCATATAATATGCAAGTTTTAACACAGTTACGTTAATTAATCATCAATAACCAGTTAGAGGTCACCATATAAATGAGGACACTCCATCACACAAGTCCTGTGTAAGCAACCAAATGATGCATTCGTCTCCATAAGTTACTTCTCGTTCTAATCAAGCACTTTCACAAATAAGTATTTTTCCAAAATGAGTTGATTTGTCAATGAAAGTGTATGTGTATTTAGATCTGTGCGTAAAAAAAACATCTGTGTTGGGGGTCAAAAATATGTTTGTGAAGTTTTCTCTACAATATTCATCACATATAATATCACACATATCCCATTCATGAATATGTTTTTGCTTTAGAAAGTTTTTGCGTAGGCATTCTTGAAAAATATTCAGAAATTTATACACGTAATAAGCATGGTGTTATATATCTATTACAGGTCGGGAATTGTCACTGAAAACATCGGCTCCTTGTCTGTAGAGTACTCCTTCATCTTCTCCTCGCTCAAGTGAGGTGTTTCCGCTTTCTGACTCCAATGGTACACAATTTCTTGATCTGAAGGGCACGTTTTCCTGAATGTCGTACTCGTATATGCCTGTCCAATATATTTCCATAGAGCTTTCATACTTGCAGGAATGTCAAAATCCTTAAGAGCTTTGCATGCTACACGGATATGCTGCAACTTGGGTAATATTAGGCAATCCAGATTTGAAATTGTATCCCCACATAGGTACTGAGTACCAGATTTATCAAGAAAGGCATTAATCGCAGCAAGCTCCTTAAGTAAGCCCTCGGGACTATTTTTCACCTGCTTGATATAGAATGAAAATTTGGAAAAAAAGTTCAAGCAGACGGCATTTGCTTCCTCATTACCGTATCTCAGGTCAGGGTGCGGGAAATTCTTGTCTAGGTACTGAACGATTTCATCATTGTCAGAGAGGATTTCATCACCGTGTTTCAAAACTGGTAATCTATTCGCGAGCTTTTTGAACTCGAGGGGCGGTCTTGACATACTTATAGTGACAACGTCGTATGTCAATTCCCCTTCACGTGCCTTCAAGTCCATAATCATGTAAACCATCTGACAGAACGGACATGCCCCGTAGTTACGCCCATTCTCGCCGGCCTTTACATAAAGCTGTAGATGATTGGAAGGAGCTCCGTTTTCATTACCACCATTTGTTTCCATGGCGAATTTCTAAAGATATACTTTTATCAAAATTTTTTGTTTGTTTTCCAATTTAATTTCCAATCAAAAGTTCTTTTACAAATAAAAATCCTGGATTTCAAATATTTATCTTTCCTGTCTCTTCAATTTCTTTATTTAAAGTCAATAGATATTTGCTGCCAGACTCCCAATAAAGGGGGACAACTCTAGGAAGATCCCAAAAGAAAAACAACTCTGCAGGTCACAGAAGGGAGACAACTTCAGTCAGCCAAATGACAGAACCTGAAGAGACAGGAAAGAACAATGATTAGTTAAAGCAAAAAGAGAAGCAAGATAATGGCAAGATGATAATATTGTCTATTAATCCAACATAAGAGTTAAATCTATTTCTAGCAAGTTTTAAAACAACATCACACCAACAAATCTGATGACCCTGGTGGTTGTTAAACTGTTCAACAACCCAAATATTCATAGATTAGCCAGATTGTTTCAAATTCACACAGGAAAATTATAGAGATGAGGATGAGCTATATAACTAGTATATCTGAAAACTTTATATTTTTAACTGTATTTGATAACAAAGTTACTACAGTTTGTATATTTGAAAACTTTTTAAATATATTGAAAGCTTTGTAACCCACATGAAGTCTTTAAAAACTTTGTAAATACAACATTAATATTTTAAAACTTGTTAACTATATATTTGAAAACTTTGTTACTGTATTTGAAAACTTTGTAACTATATCTGAAAAACTTTTTAACTGTATTTTGAAACTTTGAAACTTCATTCATTTGGAATATTTGTACTTTGTAATACAATGTACTTAAAAACTTTGAAAGTTAAGGACTTGAAATTTTTATAATCTTAATTTTATGTATTTCTGTATATTTCATTAAAATATTTCCTATTTAGAAATAAGATGATTGTTTTGTTAAAATATTCAGAAACAGATTAAATCGTAATTTTTTTTGAAAACAGAACACAGCAAAACATGGTAACTAGTTATCCATCATCAAACAACCACTTGTTATTTAATTAGTGATAAACTGAAGGCTTATATATCCACACAGTAGCACATCAAGAATGTAGTTATATACATACACACATCAGATCTGAATGAATGGAAAATGTTGCCAAATAGAATAATTTCTCTGACAAACAATAAAACAATACATGTACTTCCCCAAATCTGCCAAACAAATAATGGAGTACTTCCCAAATCTGCCACACAAAGAATGGATAAATAACAGATAAATAACAAATATCGGATAATATCACCAGATTCCTGCAGACAATTAACTCAAAAGCAATCACTTCAAGCTGGTAATCTAAATGATTATTTTTCTTAACTAGACCAAATCAGACTCAATGTCACATGTTTCAATAGCAATTAATTGAAAATATTGAAAGTGTATTGATCTAGCTTGATGCCATATAAAAGTTCTTTTTGCAACACAGGAAATAACAAGTGTTAATATTTTTTTTATTTAATATTTTTTTTCTTTTTAAATATTGGTAGTTTTCATTAATTTTCAAACCCCAAATGAAGACTTGTAAGACAAAACAAAACAAAACCTTAACACTAAACTTGTGTTGATTGTTGAATGCTTCACTTTATTAATATTGTACAGTACAATAATAATTTTTATGAAAGGAAAGTCTTTAACATGATTTCAACCATTTTTACTGTTCAAGTGAAGAAAAGTTTATCAACTCTTTCTGTTCTCCACCAGAAAATAACAACTTCTTTGAATAAATCAATCATCTTTCTTTATAGAATTGTAGAGAAAATTATGACCCTTGACTAAAGTTTAACACCAATCCAAAGAACAAAATTCCATTCATAGTGAACTAAACTCTGCATTAATGTGTATTTCTAAAACATGGTTCAAGTAAAAGAGATCAACTGGTAACAATATACAATGTACTTAAATCCATGATTCAAATATTCTTTATTCAGACATGCAGAGAAAAAGAACCACTTAAATGATTACAGTTGTTGCCATATTTATGATAACTGGTGTACATAGAAACAACAAAATGAATACAAAAAAGCTGACCTTCATTTCACATTGCACTTAATCCATAAAGGAAATGACTTTAACCTAGAAATCTCTGAACTGCTCATCAAAAATCTATTTGAAAATTCCAAAAATTGTAACCAGATGGTGAAGAGTTTTTCCCTAGTTACCTTACACCACGGAGTAAAATTCCACAGACTGCACTACACCAGTCTACTTTTCTGTTTTTACATAAGATAGCATACTACTATAAACATTATTTTTTGCTGATTTTGACACTGTGGTTGTGATTCTATGGCACTAATTGCTGTAACTATAAGCACAACCCTTGTCATAGCTTTGGTGGAAAAATACGCCTTTTACTGCCAATTTTCTCCACTTGACTTATTGTGAAAATTTGAGAACAAAATGTCATGCAGTTTTGTGGATACAGCCAAATAAAATTTATATAAAAATATATGAATACAACTTGACAAAGTTACTGATACAAAATCAACTGACATTATGACAAATACACCTGAACTGTGAGAATATGTTATATATCTTACGTTAAATAGATAATAATAAAAATTCAATTAATGACGAAGTCTATATCAAAACAAATAAATTACCTAGGTTTATATTTTGTCCAAATTTGATAGTGAAAATTACAACATCCACCTCAAACATACAGTATAAGATAATCACCTCCTTTCACTTCACAAACTTGTTACATTGTATAAATATATCCCTAGATTATGAGCAAACACAGTTTTAAATCATTAAGGTTCACCAACCATCATCAATAGCTGAAAGCTCTGCTGCATTTGAATTCTCTCCATATAACTAAACCAAGCATCATGATCATAATTATACAATCAAGTGCTTATTAATACAACAGCTGTCAGTAGGACAGTGCGCTTGACTTTTCTCAGTGCTTGATAGTAAAGAAAAGCCTTAACAATTTTCTATGTACAGAAACAGCCAAAATTCTGTCAAAATCCATGTTAAAGTTATGGGTCTTAGGAAGTTACCCCCTATTATGCTCTTTAATATGTGTGAAAAGTTTCAAGCAGTTTTTGGAGATACCAGCTTGCATGGAAAAACTTAACCAAAGATTGGAGCTGGGTCGAGTGGAGCTAAAAATGAAATCAATACAATATACATCCCTTTTAACAACCTAGATCACTTTTGTACACCATGGTTCTTTAGATGCAAAATGAACATTAAGATTAAATTTAAATATGGTGACCATGTTGCTCAAGCTTAATCTATGGATGTAACACCTTAAACCTCAGTTCAGTTTTTATTTTCAAACAGCTGCCCACATACTGTTAAATAGTAAATACCCCTGTCAAGTACAGGGTTTCTTCAAAGTAATGATAGTTTAGTAAACATTACACCAGTCTAAACTTACAAGTTCACCTCAATAAACACAACTAGAACCCCTGCAGGCTTATCACATACCATCAAGTTCAAACATTTTCTCTTCTCTAATTAAATCACGCATATAAACACTCTCTACTTAATTAATAGGCAACCAGGCTATCAATACTAGTTCATCAGTTTTACTGAAATATTTTACAGCAATCATGTGACCTCTATTTAAATTTTATATTACATAATATGAAACTTTGTTTATCAAGAGCAAATTTATTCCCAGCATGTGTCACAGTATTGAACTGTTCGGAAGAAAATGTGTAAGCTGCTAGGTCTAAGCTCAGTTGGTAAAGCCACTGTATGGTGTTTGAGGGGTTCTGGGTTCGAGTCCTGGTCAGATTGCTTATTTCTGTAACCCTGTGACATTTGGTGCCCAATAGTAGCATTTGAGGCATTTGGAGGCATGTGACTTGTTTTAACACATAAAGAGGCATGTGATTTATTATAAGTAAACTGTACATGTTGATCAATCAATCTTTAATTATGTTGAAACATTTTCGCTAAGTGTCAGTAAAAAACACACCACAGTTGGCAGTTATAAAGCACAATCTGCACTTAATATGTGAAACAATACGTCATACACAGCAAACATATGTGAAACAACAGGTCATATACATATATCCTTTAAATAGCAATGATTTCAGTAAAGGAGTATAATTATTCATTATGAATTACTGTAAAAGAGAGTGAGGGACTGCAAAGCCAAGCAACCACTAAACTCTTGGTTTCTCTGGATTTTTTATGCCTTTTTTAACACATATCTGAACATATCTCGGCGGTCAGTTCAACTAACTGGATAACTAACCAGTAATCACCAATTTCTTTGCAAGTGACCGACTACAAATCCATCCTGATTTACGAATAAGCAATTAGAGACAAATGAGATTTAGTCTCAATGTCTGAAAAAAATTGTATCAGTAAAATTTTGCCACGCCTAAGGATCGAACCAGCAGCCCCTTTGCTCTCGCTTAGTGAGCAGACAAAAACTGTTCCCATTATACATGTTTTTGGCAAACCAAGAACCAAGTAAACTCCAAAAACTAATTAAATGCTTTGGTGGAGTAATATATGAACAAACATAAAACTGGAACTTATTAATTTTACATGCATTTGGTATGACACTGACAGGGACTGAATCACTTATTTCCACATAACACATACCAAGCAAATGGAAAACAGTTAAGAATATCAACAAGCAAGGTCAAAAAAATGTACACTATATATAATTCTTAGTACTAACTACTAGTAACTCAACATTTGCCAGAAACAAGAATAATATGAATAATTATGAACATTATAAAGACATCAAAGCTTTGTGCAAAAAGAAGTTTTTTATCTCAGAATAATATCTTCATAACATAGAATGCTAGCTGTAACAACATGCTGTTTCTACCACTTGATTATATTCTTTATCTATTATTATAACATCTTCATATGTATCATATCATAATCTTATATACAATTTTTTTTGTAAGATTGTTTAGCCATTCTTCCTTTGAAACACACAATATGCCAACTTACAGGAGATTAGTTTGCACTGTATCATAATAATCCCTAAAATTTAATTAAACTTAGGTAACAAATAACATAGATCCAAGGTATTCATTCAGGGTGTGAGGCATTTGATCAATTAAGCATTCAATAGGAAATGCTATTTTCTACATGTCCTGGCTGTTCTAGTATAATCACAGTTTGTCAAGCTTATTATGCAATCAAAAGATTCATCTTAGGGACCAGTTTTTATTGCCAGTAAGACCAGTAACTGTTATTGTTGCCAGTCTGACCAGTTATTGTTTTCAGTCTGACCAGTTATTGTTTCCAGTCTGACCAGTTATTGTTTCCAGTCAGATCAGTTTTTATTGCCAGTAAACCAGTTATTGTTTCCAGTCAGACCAGTTTTTATTGCCAGTCAGACCAGTTTTTGTTGCCAGTCAGATCAGTTATTGTTGCCAGTCAGACCAGTTATTGTTGCCAGTCAGACTAGTTATTCTTGCCAGTCAGACCAGCTATTGTTGCAAGTCAGACCAGCTATTGTTGCCAATCAGACCAGTTATTGTTGCCAGTCAGACTAGTTATTCTTGCCAGTCAGACCAAGCTATTGTTGCAAGTCAGACCAGCTATTGTTGCCAATCAGACCAGTTATTGTTGCCAGTCAGACCAGTTATTGTTGCCAGTCAATTCAATTATTGTTGCAAGTTAGACCAGCTATTGTTGCCAGTCAAACCAGTTATTGTTGCCAGTCAGACTAGTTATTCTTGCCAGTCAGACCAAATATTGTTGCCAGTCAGACCAGTAATTGTTGCCAGTCAGATCAGTTTTTATTGCCAGTCAGATCAGTTTTTATTGCCAGTCAGATCAGTTTTTATTGCCAGTCAGACCAATTATTGTTGCCAGTCAGACCAGTTATTGTTACAAGTCTGACCAGTTATTGTTGCCAGTTGGACCAGTTATTGTTGCCAGTCAGACCAGTTATTGTTGCCAGTCAGATCACTTATTGTTGCCAGTAAGACCAGTTATTGTTGCCAGTCAGACCAGCTATTGTTGCAAGTCAGACCAGCTATTGTTGCCAATCAGACCAGTTATTGTTGCCAGTCAGACCAATTATTGTTGCCAGTCAAACAATTATTGTTGCCAGTCAGACCAGTTTTGTTGCCAGTAAGACCAGTTATTGTTGCCCGTCAGACCAGTTATTGTTGCCAGTCAGACCAGTTATTGTTGCCAGTCAGACCATTTATTGTTGCCAGTCAGACCAGTTATTGTTGCCAGTCAGACCAGCTATTGTTGCCAGTCAGACCATTTATTGTTGCCAGTCACAAACCAATCATTGTTGCAAGTCACAGACCAGGTATTATTGCCAGACACAAACAAATTATTGTTTGTTGCCATTCAGATCAGTTTTTATTGCCAGTCAGATCAGTTTTTATTGCCAGTCAGACTAGTTATTGTTGCCAGTCAGACCAGTTAATGTTGCCAGTCAGACCAGTTATTGTTGCCAGTCAGACCAGTTATTGTTGCCAGTCAGACCAGTTATTGTTGCCAGTCAGGCCAGCTATTGTTGCCAGTCAGACCAGTTTTGTTGGCAGTAAGACAAGTTATTGTTGCCAGTCAGACCAGTTATTGTTGCCAGTCTGACCAGTTGTTGTTGCCAGTCAGACCAGTTATTGTTGCCAGTCTGACCAGTTGTTGTTGCCAGTCAGACCAGTTATTGTTGCCAGTCAGACCAGTTATTGTTGCCAGTCAGACCAGCTATTGTTGCAAGTCAGACCAGCTATTGTTGCCAATCAGACCAGTTATTGTTGCCAGTCAGACCAGTTATTGTTGCCAGTCAAACAATTATTGTTGCCAGTCAGACCAGTTTTGTTGGCAGTAAGACAAGTTATTGTTGCCAGTCAGACCAGTTATTGTTGCCAGTCAGACCAGCTATTGTTGCCAGTCAGACCAATTATTGTTGCCAGTCAGACCAGTTATTGTTGCCAGTCAGACCAGTTATTGTTGCCAGTCAGACCAGTTATTGTTGCCAGTCAGACCAATTTTTGTTGCCAGTCTGACCAGTTATTGTTGCCAGTCAGACCAGTTATTGTTGCCAGTCAGACCAGTTATTGTTGCCAGTCAGACCAGTTATTGTTGCCAGTCAGATCAGTTATTGTTGCCAGTCAGACCAGTTATTGTTGCCAGTCAGACCAGTTATTGTTGCCAGTCAAACAAGTTTTGTTGCCAGTCAGACCAGTTTTGTTGCCAGTCAGACCAATTATTGTTGCCAGTCAGGCCAGCTATTGTTGCCAGTCAGATCAGTTTTTATTGCCAGTCAGACCAGCTATTGTTGCCAGTCAGATCAGTTATTGTTGCCAGTCAGACCAGTTATTGTTGCCAGTCAAACAATTTTTGTTGCCAGTCAGACCAGTTTTGTTGGCAGTAAGACCAGTTATTGTTGCCAGTCAGACCAGTTATTGTTGCCAGTCAGACCAGCTATTGTTGCCAGTCAGACCATTTATTGTTGCCAGTCACAAACCAATCATTGTTGCAAGTCACAAACCAATTATTGTTGCTAGTCACAGACCAGGTATTATTGCCAGACACAAACAAAATATTGTTTGTTGCCATTCAGATCAGTTATTGTTGCCAGCCAAACAATAATTGTTGCCAATCAGACCAGTTTTTGTTGCTACCCAGACCTGTTATTGTTGCAAATCAGACAAGTTATTGTTGCCAGTAACAGACCACTTATTGTTGCCAGTAACAGACCACTTATTGTTGCCAATCAGACCAATTATTGCTGCAAGTATGTTGCCAGTAACAGACTAGTTATTGTAGCTTGCCTGAATATCATGAACTATTATGTATC